GATTCTCAAGTTAGATGGTATACAGCACCTCACATTTAACTATGCCAAAACGGACTTCTTGAATTTTCTCTAAATCTGTTCTTCCATTAATTGTCCACATCTCCCAATGGCACTGTAATTCACCTAGTCATTCAGTCCACATATTCGGGAGTTATTCTTGATAACTGTCTTTAGCTCTGCTCACCCAATCTGTCATCCATCCTGACAAGTCTACCTTCAGAATAGATCTAAAATTCATCTCTTTCTCCTCACTTAAACTGTGACCACTCTAGTTCAAGAAGGAGATGATGCTTCCTTGGACTTTCACAAAAACTCCAGAACCAGTCTCAGTGTTTCTACTCTGCGACTCATGGCACCCCCAATGGTAATTTTAAACAAGACCCTCTCCTTCTCCTGCTTAAAACCTTTCCATGGAGTCCCACCCCCTGTGCTGAAAAATAATTGAAAACATAAAAAGCAAGCTTTTCTATGTACCCCCACCCTTACTGCCTGGTCTGCTTTGGCCCTGCCTATCTGGGAACTTCACTTTGAGCCCCTCTCCGAGGCTCTCTATGCTCCAGACTCTGGCCATGCGGGTCTCAGGTTCTTGGAAGGAAACAATCTCTTTCATGCCTTGCAGAGTTAATTTACAGGGCCCATTTCCTCCCCTCACCTTCCTGAGTGCTTTGTCTCTTTTCATACTTTAGATTTTGGCTAAAAAGTTGCTTCCCAAGAAAGGCATTATCTAAAATCCAGTATCCAAAGTTAATATGTCCTCAGAATTCCATTACTTTTCTTGATAGAAAAATTACTTATTTGTTTGCCTTTGTTAATGTTTATGTATTTTTGAGAGAGAGAGAGAGAGAGAGAGAGAGAGAGAGGCAGAGTGTGAGTGGGGGGAGGAGCAGAGAGAGAGGAGACACAGAATCTGAAGCAGGCTCCAGGCTGTGAGCTGCCATGAGGCCACATTCCAACCCACAAAGCATGAGATCATGACTTGAGCTGAAGTTGGACGCTTCACCGACTGAGCCACCCAGGTGCCCCTATTTGTTTGCTTTTTAAATGTGTTTTATTATTAGTTGTGAAGGCATTTGGTTATCCACTTATCTCACATGGCACAATTCCTGATGCATAGTGGATATATAAATTAAAAAAAAAAAAGCCTGGAAAAAGGATTGTAGAGGTATCCTCAAACACTCTTACTGTTTTTCCATAAAGACTGTGAAAATATTCACAGTCTTTGGGATTTTTTTGGTGTGTATTATATATTTTTAATTAAAATTCTTCCTTGAGTAATATAGATCCATATGCAGTTGTGATAAATAAGACAGGTCTCTTGTACCCTTCATTCACTTGACCCAGTGGTGCCACCTTGTAAAACTACAGTACAGCATCACAACCAGGATATTCACAGTACAGTCAGGATACTAAACATTTCCATCAGGACAAGAGTCCCTCATGTTTCTCTTCTATAACCACACCTTCTGTACTCCCACCTAACCTTCCTTAACTCCCCAGCAGCCATTAAGCTGTTCTCCGTTTCCATAATTTTGTCATTTCAAGAATGTTCTATAAATGAAATCAGACAGTATACAATGTTTTGAGACTGGATTTTTTTTTCACTCAGCATAATTCACTGGAGATTTATTTTTCTTGCATTGGATCAAGAGTTCATTTTTTTTTTTTTTTTACTGCTGAAGAGTATCCCATGGTATGGATGTACCAAGTCTGTCTGGCCTTTTACCTGTTGAAGGGTATCTGGGTTCTTTCCAGTTTCTGGCTATTACCACTAAGTCTACTGTGATAAGCTGCATATAGGTTTCCATGTGAACATGTCCTTATTCCCCCGGGGTACATGTCCAGGAATGCAACTGCAGGGTCAGGTAGTAGTTGCATGTTTAGTTTTTAAAGAAACTATTATTAGGAATTGGTGATGGAAATAAGGATGATTTGCCAGAGGTATTGTAAAGAAGAAATTGAGAATATAACAGAAACAGTGAGCTTAGGTGACCAAAAGATATCAGCAGGTTGAAATTGTGGACTGAATCGAACAATAACATTTTCTAAAAGGGACACACTTCAAGTCCTCCCCTATGATTCAATATGAAACATAATGAGGATAAGGAATACAGTATTTATTTGATAATGTTGAACAAACAAATACAATGTGGAGACATACGTTGACAGAAGTGTGGTAATAATGATTGTTTGGAGGAACTCCTTGTCCCAAAATCAAGGGAGACTTCCTTTTTCCTGTCAGGACCTAAATTAATTGTGTTTTTGTTTCCTTTGTCCTTTCTTTTAAATTAGTAATTGAATTGACAGTTTAGGATTCCAAAGAATAGATCTAAATCAGAAGTAATTTTCAATAGTGTCTTTATTTTCCACCAAATCTACATCAGATACTATTGGTCGGCGAGGTCCCTTTCCTTAAATTTTTCACATCTCTGTGCAAGTGAAAAGCTCTCCCCCATCCCACCCCAGCCATAGAAAGAAAGAAAAAAAGGATGATCCCTGCCAAGACATTGTTTCTTCCCCAGAGAAGATGTTTTGCTCCCATTTAAAAAATATGTGATATATTCAACAGTGGTAACACCCCATTATGCTTGGGTCGCTGAGAAGTAGGACAGCTCTACTCTTTAACACGAATGTTATAAAGTAAGGTGCATATTCACTTTCTCAGGATATAGAGCGATAGATATATCAAGACTTCTAGAATTATTAATGCTGTCATTCCCTCCTCCTCTTCAACATAATATTTCTTGGAAATGCAACAGCCCAAACCAACCTGTGTTGTACCATGCTGTCCTAATGATGTCAAGTTCATGTTCTTTCCAGATGAAGGAAGGGTTAATGGGTGGCAAAAGGCCAAGAATGCCAGCTGGCCTTCAATGGTCCCTGACACGCTGGTGTTCATAACTATCTTGAGTGATACAAGAAGCATATTCTTACTGTATAAGGTGGTACTGTACTCTTTATTGTCCGGATGTGTTTAGAGTATTGGGTTAAACTATAATCATATTTTGTATATATTAGAAGAAATAAAAATCAGGATTCTTACAGATTAAATCCAGTTCTCATCGATTATATTTGAGTTCAAGTAAGATTAAAATGAAGGTAAACAAGAAAGGACTTGAGTGCACTGACAAGTACAACCATCAATATGCTCTTACGTCAAGCTTTCTGGTACGTGGGTTTCTTCTCTGGGATATGTTTAGAGTTCTTGGCATGGAAAGATAATTTTGGGAGGACAGCTACCATTTTGCCATTTTCTCTACATACTATATTCCTGTATTTATCATTCTCCTTCTGTTTTGGGCCATGCCTGGCTTCCTGATATTGCAGGGAGTCCTCCACGGGGTTTGCTTCCCCTCAACGCTGTTCGGGGTTCTCCCTTTGAGTGGCACAATCCTATTTCCATTTCGCACCTATGTTGGGGAATGTCATCGAAAAGATGTGACTACTGATTGTCCCGTAAGCTGAACCCAAGAACTCCGAGGCTTCTCACTTCCAAATGTCACCTTCTCCTGTCCTTGGAATGTGGGTTCCACTAGCCTTTTCCTCTCCTAGAGGTTGCTCCAAGAACAGAGTTGAGATGGTGATGTGATGCTGAGAACACCTGTATGGTACATGTGACTGGACCCAGTTAAGGCCTCTTTAGAAACTTCTGAGAATTTGCTGCCATCCTTGTGCTTCTTAAAACTGCCACCTGCCAACCTGGAGTGACCTGCCTCTCTCCCTGCCCTCCGGTTTCAGATTACACCAGAAAAGTTCCCTGGAGGGTTGCGAACCAACAAACTACTCAGTCAAAGTCTCCAGAGGTTGAGCCAGTAAGTATGGAAAACAAAGATAAGAACAAGAAACCCGTGATTCTAAAGCACTGCCAGATTTAAGAACCATTGGCCTCAAACAGATTTGTATTTAATCTTGTCTGAATAATATAAACAAGATATTTAACTCTCTAATCCTTCAAAAAATAATAATACTTTGCTCCTGGGTAACATTTACTGAAAGTCTACCATGTGTCAGATAATATGTGAAGAACCGTATGTACATTATCTTCTTTAGTTTATGTAATAATGTTATGAAGTAGATATAGATATTACTAATAACCCATTTTACAGATAAACATACTGAGGCTTATTGAGTTATTAAACTTAATAAATAATGTGCCCAAGATCGATGGAGCCAGGATATAAACCAGGTAGTGTAAGTAAAGAATTCATCATGGTATCTGACACACAGTAGACAGATCATGTAGTAATCATCATAAATAGCATCATATAATCATCGTTACTGTTATAATCAAATGCCTCAGCAGTTTCCATCAAATGCTGATCCTCTCCTGGAGCCAGTGAATAGTACATGTCCCACACTTCTACTTTGGAGGGTAAGACATTACTAAGTATCTGATGGAAAATCTGCTCTTAGACATCTGTATATCTTACACATTGTGGGTGTTTACAAGAACCCCACAATTTCATTTCATAACCCTGAATTTAATATGGAAGTAAAGAAAAACTAGGTTCTCTTCTGATGTAGAAAACTCCAGATAACATTTTGTGAAAGGTGCAGGTGATGCCAGAATAGGATTTCAGTACCCAGAAAGTCTCCTTCTGTAACTGGGGGGCCCAGGGAGGCTCTGGAATGGTCCATAAGCTTCCCCTCACACGGGCAGTATGGACAATCAAGCAGTCTACGTTACTCATGGAGGCTGCTTCGTGGGTCAGCCCTTTCTATGGACTTCAACCTTCAATTTCACTTTCTGGGTTTTTCCCCTACATACTTATATTTTAAAATTATGTCTTGCTCAAGTCAGAAGGTGGACTTAAAAAAAAACAGGTTAGAAGAGTTTTATTGTAGAAATACATTTCACCGTTTTATGGAACAAATCCAACAATACATAGCTTATTACACACTGAGATAAGAATGTGGCCCAGAAGAAATATACCTGGGTAGTACTGTCCATGCTCAACACGTAGAAAAGGAATATTTGTGAAACATAAATATGGCACTGTTACCTGTCATGTTGCAGTAGACTTTCAGAGGCCCCAGCGGTCCACTGCCATCAGGATCTATCCAGTAGTAATTTGATGTCTGGCCCAGGTGTTTGTATGCTTCACAGGAAGGCTCATAGATCGCTGGAACAGAATAGCCTACATGAGAAAGGTGCAGTGCAAATGGCTCCCCAGATAGGTGCCCCAGCCACATCCAATACTGGCCAGCCACTAGCGAGCAGTATACCCTCCTGTTGGGAGTGGCATTCTTTTTCTCTACACTTAAATTCATGATTTGGTTCTTACTCTATAAGCCTTTTTGACCTAACAAAGATAGCGAGTTCCTGCTATGGCTTTATAGTTGGAAAAAAATATAAACCAAACAATAAATTGTTAAATAAATGTAATGTTGCATTAGGGCTCATGATCGTTGAAAAAATATTTAATCTTTAGTTATTTATATATGTCATATCCTTACTGTAGGGGGCTTTATTTTGAAAGGCCATAAATATTGGTTGTTTTGTTGGGCTAAAAGAAAAATCCCTCTCTCTCTCTCTCTCTCACACACACACACACATACACATACACACACACACACACACACACACACACACTTTTTTTTGCATAGATAGCATAAATTTTCCTCAAACAGCATGGGATTTCTAATCTTCCTTCATTTAAGAAAAAAGGAAAGACACATCCCTGCTTCATTTTATTATAGGTGTATTAATTACATCACATCTAGTTTTTGTGGAAAGCTGACATCAATGTAATTAAATTACAGGTTCCTTTTCATTGTTTTCCCTTTTGTTCCCATGCTCCCAACACATTTTCTTTTCTCACAGAGACTGCATCTGTTTTTAGAATACAAAATGGGCGTTTACATACCCCCTTTGTAGTTACAACTTCTGGAATACCATTGGCAAGACTTTTTAAAACAGCTCCACACTGACATTTATGATGACTTTGAAAGATGTCTTTCCACACTTGCTCTTGGCCAAAAGGCCGAGAAGCGACTGAAAGATGTCTTTCCAAAACTAAGAACTACTTCTGGTAAAGAGCTATCATCAGATGCACACATAGTACAGTCTTTTGGGAAAGTACACTGGAATTCACATGGCTGGGATCTGTCATTCTTCAACAACGGGTCTGATTCCAGGACCTCCCTTTTCCACCTTCCTCTCCTCTTCCATGTTCTCCGTGCCTCCCTTTGGCTGCCTGTAGTTTCCTCGCCAAGATGTTAGGCCTCCGATTCTATTTCACGTCAACAACCACACACCAGACTAAAACAATTCTCAAATGCTTTGTTTTACTTAACCCTTCTTTCCTCCTTCCATTCTTTCTGCAAATTATTGAGTACCTATGATGTGCTGAGCAGGGATTAGGCAACACAAATACAACTGTAAGCAATACAGATAAAGAGCCTTTGGAGTAGGGTCTGTTCACTAATTATTGTGGTATTACTCACGCATTAAGGTGCCAGTGGAAGGGGTGAAGATGGAAAGTTATGCAGGGCTCACATGCCTTTTGTCCCAGTGTGATGATTAATATGCCCAATTTCAGTCTCCCAAGTCTCTTATTTGGATAATAAACTATGGTTGCTCTAATTCTGAATGCCATGCCAACTAAAATATTGCAATAAAGGGAAGCGAGGAAGAGTTTTTAAACCCTTCAGCAGGAAGATGCTATAATTAGATGTAGGTTTTAGAGAGAAAACTCCTGTAGCAAAACAATAGATTTTAGGGAAGTGATTCAGAAATTCATGAGCTCACAGAGGCTGTCACTGCCATAGGCCAGGGGAAGGATGACTGTTTCCATAAGAAAGTGCGAGGATGGATAAAGTATATGGCACTGACTCACATGTTTTTAAAATCAACTGGAGACGGAGACCAGGTGGGTGTAGGGAATTAGGAAGATAAAGAGTTCAGAATGACCTAAACGCACCATTTCTAACCGGCTCCTATTTTTTTGTAACCTCTCTCCAGATAATTACAATTTTTGTGGGTAGCTCAAAATGATCCAGAATGTCAGGTTAGAATTCTAAAGTTCTCCCTTTAGACCCTTTGTCCAATCTGCCATTAAAAGCTTTCACGTTTCTTTTTTTAAAATATTTAATCATGAGTCACTCTCTTTTCTCCCGGTAAACAACCCATTTTCCTTATCGTGTGGTATCTGTTTACAATAATCACACTATTAATTGGTCGTCTTACCCAAACATCTCTTCACTTTCCCAACAAATTATTCTTTTTACCCACTGTTAGTCTGGTCCTAAGACATACTTTCATTATGTTAAAAAAATATGTAATGATTTTTCAGTCTCTGTGATATTACATCCCAGATCGCTATCTATGCCTACAAGACCTTCGACAAACCTAATTGCTGTCTCCTGGTTTTGGTGACCTGCCAGTGTAAACCTCACACACTGGTCAGGCAAATTTGACACAGGATCTTGCTCACCCTTTCTGGGGTTACCTTTATCTGCAATACACTACAAGCCTCTTTCTCAGTCTACCAACCTTCTCTACCAGAGTTAACAATTAACGCAGAAGTGCGAAGAAATAGGACTCTGCAATCAAACAGACTTGGGTTGAACTGACTCTGCAAAGCACTATGTGCTTGCAGGTAAACACAGGTAAAGTGCTTGATCTCACTTAGCCTTGTCTGGAGAAGAGGGATTGGGTACATTGCAATACAGTGACAAGAGCTGGAGGATATGACAACACCAACTGCTTCACCTTTCTATCTGGCCCATGGTCAACATTTAAGAGGTGGAATTTTTATGATTAATATACTACTTATTAATTAGGTCCTACTCACAGTCCTCCCTTCTTAAGGAGGGCCTCCCTAGTCAACAGTCCGGTCAATACACCCATCTTTCTGTACAATCTGGGGGATCCGTTGCTCATCTCACATCCTGTAATACCTGATTAGAGTCCATTTAGGACTTGATTGACTGTTGGTAATGGAATTGCATATACAACCATTTTATTTCCTAATAAGACTGTGAATTATCTTGCGGGGAGGGTCTAGAAGATACATTTCTCTTTCCTACTCCATGCAATCTTAAACATAGTAGATGTTTAAGAAAATCCATCAGAACTAATGAAAGCATGATCTGATGGTAAGCGCGGGTAACTCCTGCACGTCTAAGAAAGCATCTAAGCACTCTAAAGAGGGCTACAGACCTTAATGTGAGGAACTGACTAAGAGCCAATTCTGAAGGCTTGTAGATGAGGGAAATCTGGGTGTGCAAGCGGCTTGTCTCTTTGTCTTCAAAGTGTGACTGTTATTCTGCGTGACTTTAACCTACAACTGGCCTTCTGGCTGCTTTTGCCTCATCGACACAAATGGACACCAAGTACTTCAGTCCAAACTTTATCATGTGTGAAAAATCAACTGGACAGCTTGTTAAGATGGGGATTCCTGGGCTTCCCCCCAAAGATTCTGATTCAGCAGAGGATTTGCAGTTGTAATAAGCTTCCAAGTGAGCCTGATACTGCTGGTCCTGACTGCATGTTGAAGGGCCCTGCTCCAATCCTGGAAAAAAGTTAACTCTGGAAGGGTAGGCTAATTCCTTTTTTAGATTTAGATATAAAAGGGGAAAAAAAATAGAACACTGAAAGGCAAGACAGTAGAGTTTTAAATAAGGCTGGAATGCCACCTCACTTCACTCAAAATAATGAAAAGGGAGTGGGATACAGACCCCTAAATAAAAATAAGGGTGCCTGGGTGGCTCAGTCAGTTGAGTGTCTGACCCTTTATTTCGACTCAGGGAATGAGCCCTGTGTGGGGCTCCGTGCTAAGCACGGAGCCTATTTGAGATCTTCTTTCTCTATCTCCTTCTGCCTCTTTACCCCATTTGCAATCTCTCCCTCTGTGTCTCAAATTAAAAAAATAAAACCCTAAATAAAAATACATGTCAAAAGAAACATACTTGGATGAACGCACCCACATGGTAACAGTGATCATCTTTGATTAATAAGACTATGGATGAGATAAAACTTCATACTTTTCTGTTTTCCATACTACTTATAATGTGTTTTAGTTACACTATCATTAAAAATACACTTGCAAAATACGTATCTTGAATAATGGCACGGAGGTAAGATGGCAAGTACAGCTCAGTATAATGAAAGTGTATTAGTTTTTTTAACTGAATGAGGAATGAAGAGATAAAAACTGAGAATAAACTGAGGGTTGATGGGGGGTGGGAGGGAGGGGAAAGTGAGTGATGGGCGTTGAGGAGGGCACCTGTTGGGATGAGCCCTGGGTGTTGTATGGAAATCAATTTGACAATAAATTTCATATTAAAAAAAAAGTTGATTCAACATTATCCTAAAAAAAATCTCCTTTCTGTCATTTACTACATAGAAACTCCCTTTTAGTTTTCTTAGCTGTAAAATGAAGGCAACGATACCTCCTTCACTGTTATTGTAACGATTAAGTGAAATCACACACACTTTGTCAACTAAAAAGAATTGAGTATATTGACATTTTAATGCAGAGAATGAGCTAACCAAAGCATTTACCCTGCATGCCTCAGCCGGTTAGCTTGGTATCCAGTGGAGTCATAGCTGGGTTGTACAATTTGTGCACATGAAGCCTGAGGAGCTGAGAGAGCACGAGGGCTAAGGCAGAAGCCGATGAAGAAAGAAAAGAGTGTGAGCCATCATCAGTGATGGAGTTTTGCTAGGAGACTGCTGAAGAGCAGAGAGGCAATTGGGCCGATGGGGAAATAAACAGACTCATCAAGTCCATTGATTTATCGGAAAAGTAATTTTTCTCTGCTGTGACTTCTAGTCCCAAATAAAAGGTCTCATATTAGTCTACATATTCGTAAATAAATCTCAGAGGTTCAGAAATACTATGATTGAACACATTAGATTGGATTTCATAGCACGTAAAATTCCAGAAAGTGGTGAATCCTAAGTATATTATACACATTTACTAAACAATGAATGTTGTCTGTCTGGTATCATACTAGGCACAATGGAAAATGACAAAGTATGGCTTTATTAGTTTCATGTGGCTGCTGTAACAAATAAGCAAATATTAACGGACTGAAACAACACCAACTGATTATCTTACGGTTCTGGAGAAGTTTGAGATGGATTTCCCAGGCTAAATTCAAGGTGTCTGTGGGG